AGTAGCATACTCCGGACGCAGTAGCGTACACAAAGGAAACATTAGGAGATGCGAGAATGCGCCCTGCCCGGTGGCGCGGGTTCATGTGCTTTCGAAATGGAGGCCCAAAGGCTGGCAGGAGATCGCCGGGGTACAATGATGGCCGATTAGTCAGCCGATGGTCGACCTCAAGCGAGCGTCCTCGTTCTTCTTCACGCTCGACGGCGACGTCGACGCAAATTTTGTTGCATTTTTTTCTACTTTCTCACGATTGCCTGACACCTCTGCCTGCCCACCACCGTCGCCAGCGCCGACCATTGCGCGTTGTTTAATTGCCCATATCCGACTCGCGTCGTTGTGAGAAGAGTTCCCACCCTTGTGAGTTTTCCTCCATATCTTCGCCATCCCCCTTCTGCAGACATGGGTCTGTGACACTAGTGATGATGGGCGCTTGCCTCTTTGTCGGTGCCAGCATGTCGTCGGATCGCGGTGTTACGCAGCGATAAAGGCGATGTTCATGACAAGCGCTTTGGCGGACCCTGCGATGCTGGTAACCGCCACTTCGAACCCATCGATGCCCTTCCATGTCCGCCTTGTGCGGAGCTGAGCTTTGTATCATCAGGCGCTTACCCGTTCCCTCATCCAGGGCAACTTCCAGCACCTTTACCCGTACCGGTTTTCACAGCCATGAAGGACCTCTCGAACAAACACAACAACAGGGCCTCTGCGTCCGCCTATCCATGGAAACGCCCGACGTCATCCTCAAGCGGCGTATCGAAGAAGCCGACGCCGACGCGCCGGTCACCGCGCTCCGCCAAAGCCGCGCTCATCGCCCAGCGCCAACGCGATCAGCAAGCACAGGCACTGCGCAAGGAGGGCGTACTGCTGGAGGAGGAATACCGTGATGATATTCGGCGCTATATGCATGACATGGAGGTGAATACTCATTTCTCGCTTGTCTCTTGCGCTTTGGGGATCGTCGTTGAACTCGGTTCCTCCTCCCTTTCCTCCAGCTCAGCACGATCCCCACCCTGCAGTGTATGGACCAACAACCGGAAATCAAGTGGCACATGCGACCCTCCCTCGTCGACTTTCTTGTAGAGGTCCACTTCTCATTTAGGCTCCGGCCAGAAACCCTTTACCTGGCGCTGAACATCATCGACCGTTACGTGTCCAAACGCGTTGTTTATGTGAAGCACTACCAGCTCGTGGGCTGCGCTGCCCTCTGGATTGCTGCCAAGTTCGAGGATGCCAAGGAACGCGTGCCAACGATCCAGGACCTTACGGAGATGTGCCACGGCGCATACTCGGAGTCTGCATTCTGCCAAATGGAAGGCCATATTCTCTCCACCATACAATGGACGCTCGGACATCCCACCGCAGAGTCCTGGCTGAGGCTGATGTGCTGCGGTGTCAACCAGGAGGAGAGCCAGGTCCAGCACGTTGCACGCTTCCTGATGGAGATCACGCTTTTCTATCGCGAATTTGTTGTCTACTCTCCATCGACGATTGCATTGGCTTCGTTGACCCTAGCCCGTTTCCTTTGCGGCAAACCCCGTCGACCATGGGAAGAGTCCGAGGAGTGCGTGGACGTTGTCGAGCTGCTGGACACCCGACTTTCGAAACATATCAACGAGGTGTCGGAGACGCTGTTGAAGAAGTACTCGTATGCGTTTTACTCCAAGGCGTCTACGATGGTTGTGCGCATTTATGTCAATGGTGGAGGCTTTTCGCGGTGGTCTTCGGCACCCTTCCCCATCACTCCCACGCGGCATTCGCCTGCGCTGTCGCCAGCGACGTCGCCTGCGTCGACGATCTCTGACATGTCTGACGATGGACCGCTTACGCCGAGCACGCCGTTGGATCTGACGATGCCGGATGGGTTTGGGGATGTGGGGGACGACAAGGAGAACTTGCCTGTGTCGTTTGAGCCTGTGTATACGACGAAGCAGGCTCCGGTGGAAGCGCAGTTCATCCCGCACGACCTTGTTGCGCTTGGGCGTGTGCCGCTGTTCCCGCGCAACGCGCCTGGTGTGTCATGATGATGGATGCACGCCGACCCAAAAAAAAAAAGTCCACACCGACCTGTACCATTGCATGTGTTTCGAATATTGGGGGCCTTCCTTCCTGGGCTCCTCGACGTTTTTCTTCCTCATTTTTTTTCTCCCTCTGCTTCAAATTGTAACAACAAAGACAAATGAACCGATGGATGGTTCTGGCAAGCTGCATATCACACAACATTCATATCCCAACATACCAACACGACCACGCATTCCAGCATTATACTTCTTCGCACCTCACCGCACCGCACCGCACCGTACCACCACACCTCGCCTGACGCATTGGCATCGAGCTCCTCTCATTTTCTGGACACTCCCTCTTCTCTCCTCTCCAGGTGCTGCTCGACCGTGCGATGAAAATACAGACATACTTTCGTTTTCTTTTCCGCTCATACATACAGACATACAGACAGACATACATATGCAATCCCTCCTCCTCTTCCTTTGTGGTGGTTTTTTTTTATTCCCTCGTAGTTTCTGATTTACTCCTCTATACGTGCTTGTCCCCTCCCATCCTCCTCCTCCTCCTCCCTCTCCTCTTACCAAATCACTTCTGCTTACCGATTACTACTTCTGCCTACCAACTCCGCCCCCGCCCTCGACCCCGCCGACGCGTACATTATTCTTCATTTTATACGAAAAAAACTTGAATTTTTTTTTTCTTTTTGTCCAAAGTATTTTTTTCGGTCTGTGTTTTTATTTAAATAACTTTTCAAAATTTTTATATATAATTATTTTTTGAACAGAGGAGAGGGTGAGGGAAGGGGGTGAGGACAGTGTCACAGTGCGAACTGGTACTAGTAGGCTGTACAACGGTGCCGTGGGGAAGGGTGTGTGGGACCACGTGATCGTGATCGTGTGGAGGATGATGGATTGATCGGAGATTGCCTGAAGGCTGAGCTTGACTCGGACTTTCTTGTTTGAACGTAAACGGCTTGCATAACATACCTGCAGCAACTTGCGATACACCGGCGAAAGGCCTTTCTTACGATACATCTCTAGCGAAGCAAATCACAGCGAGCACGCAAAACGAGGACGGGCAAGGGACGCAGAAATTAGTACGGCGAAAGCAACAAGTTCACTACTACGATGTCAGAACCACACGCAGACCCAGCGCACGCAGAAGCAGACCCAGAGCGGTATCCGGAAGCAGAAGCGATAGCGAAAGCGGCGAAGGAGGCGTTCCAGGCGAGCCAGCTCGTGGATGGGGCGGAGCGCACGAAGGCGCTGCGTGCGATGCGGGGTGTGCTTGAGGAGAGCCGGGAGGTGGTTTTGGAGGCGAATAGGGAGGATGTTGAGGTGTGTGTTTTGTGTTCGCACTGCCTGATTCTGCGCGCTTTTTCTCGTGCCCATGTCATTTTCCAAATGAACGAGAGACTGTTCGAAAGACATGAAATCCTGCTCGAAAGCCATGAACCACGACTGACATACCCTTCCAGGCCGCACGCCCCACCACCTCCCCCGCGCTCCTCTCCCGGCTCACCCTCACCCCCGAAAAATTCGCCTCCATGCTCGACGGCATATCCGACGTCGCTGCTTTGCCTTCCCCGACGGATGTGATCACGTATGCGACGGAGTTGGACGAAGGGTTGGAGCTGTATAGGGTGTCGTGCCCGATTGGTGTGCTGTTGGTTATTTTTGAGGCGCGGCCGGAGGTTGTGGTGAATATTGCGGCGTTGGGTGTTAAGAGTGGTGAGTGTGTTTTGTGCTCTCCTGTGCTTTTTTGTACTTGCTGCTTTGCTTTTGCTTTTTTGTTTATGGCTTTGGAACGGATGAACAATTGGACTGATAGTATATCGTCCTCGACAGGCAACGCCGCTATCCTCAAAGGCGGTAAAGAAAGCGCGCGGACGACTAAAGTCCTCGCACGTCTCATCGCGCAAGCACTATCGACAACGCAGCTCCCCTCAACGTATATCCAAGCCATCGAGACGCGGGAAGAGGTTGGGGGGCTTTTACAGCAGGATAAATACATTGACTTGGTTATTCCGAGGGGAAGCAATGCGTTGGTGAGGAGTATACAGAATGGGACGCGGATTCCGGTGATGGGGCATGCGGATGGGCTGTGTGCGGTGTATTTGGATGAGAGTGCGGATGTGGGGAAGGCGGTGGGCGTTGTGGTTGATTCGAAGGTGAGCGGGTTGTTTGTTTTTTATGTCTTTTGTCGAAGCCCTCTCCGTGTGGTGTACTGACAAGGAGCTTGTGTTTTTTCTAGACAAACTACCCCTCAGCGTGTAACTCCGCAGAAACCCTGCTCGTGCACGAGGCGCTGCTCAACACCGTCTGGCCGTCCGTAGCAGAAGCCCTTCTCGCATCCTCCGTAACGCTACTGTGCGACAAACCCTCTCTAGCGGTCCTCCACTCCCTCCCGACGTTCGTCCCGCACGCATCCTCGGTGCTCCCCGCCCCGCCCGACGCATACACCACCGAACACCTCTCCCTCACGCTTTCCGTCAAGACCGTACCCTCGGTACACGCCGCCATCGCCTTCGTCAACGCACACTCCTCACACCACACCGACGCCATCGTGACGGAGAACGACGCCGCGGCGCGCGCGTGGGTCCGCGGGGTGGACTCGGCGGGAGCGTTTGTGAATGCGTCGACGCGGTTCGCGGATGGGTACAGGTATGGGTTTGGGACGGAGGTGGGGATTAGTACGGGGAGGATACATGCCAGGGGGCCTGTGGGGTTGGAGGGGCTTGTGGTGTATAAGTATGTGATGAGGAGTACGAGTGGTAAGGGGCATGCTGTAGCCGATTTTGGTAGTGGTAATGGTGGAGGGGGAGGGGGAGGGGGGAAGGTGTATAGGCATAAGAGGATTGAGGATCCGGTTTTGCCGTATGCGTAGTGTGGTAGAGGGAGAAGTAAATAAAGTATGGCTTGGTAACGACCCCATTGTGCTCCTTTGTGCTTTCGAAGCATCTCGCCGATCACACCTACGCCCTCCAAGCGCAACGCCATGGCGAGATGGCCGAGCGGTCTAAGGCGCCAGACTAAGGAGAGGACCAACTCGCTCTTGCGAGTCTCACAATCTGGTCCGAAAGGGCGTGGGTTCGAATCCCACTCTCGTCATGTGTGAGGGCTGTGCTTTTTTCTGAACGTCCTTTTTAGGGTGGCGGACCTATGCTCCCCGGGGGGTACAGTACCGGTACCGTACCTATGCCCAATTTAGGGGGGGTGTACCGTACCGTACTGTACCGGCACGTGATGGAAACATGTGACCTGCGCCACACCTCGCGTTTTGCTTGTTTTTCGCGCTATTCTCCGGTTTTTCTTGCGTCTGCATACATATTACACTTACTAACACCTGGGAAGACATAGTTAAATGCTTTGAAACCTCAGAATTGCAGGTTTTGACCCCATAATTCCTCTAGATTGAGATACCTATTTGAGCCACCTCACACTCTCTCAATGACTTTCAATTTACTGTAAAAGTCCGTATATAGCACCATTCAGCTACAGATTAAGTTTTCAGCTCTTGGGAACCCCAATGAGAGCCATGCCACTCCCCCGAACGTCGTTGAGTGCCCGCCGATCATGCCGCCGCCCGCCCCGCGCCGTGATCCGAAGCATGCACGTGATAGGGTCACGTTGAGGCATCATGTGATAGGTACTGTACCTACCCTTCTGGCGGGGGGTGTACAGTACATGGTACGGTACGGTACCGGTACTTATGCTCGGTACCCATGTTTTGGGGGTTAGGTCCGCCACCCTAGATCATTTTGGGATCTGAAGGGATCATTTCTGGAATCTGAAGGGATCATTGTGGGATCTGAAGGCTTCCATCTAAGATTAGGATAAGTAATCCCTCGCGCATTTCATTTTTTATCGCAAAAGTGTTTCGCACGGCGTCACGTTTCTCTAAATAGAACTAAGTAAGTAGGAGGGAGAAAGCAAAGTACACTACGACTACACTACGAACACATACGCACATCCGCCGTTCACATCTATCACTCCAAAAAAAAAAGAGACTCAAGCCTATCCTTGACTTTTCCTCAAGCCTATCTTTAACTTTTCCTCAAGCCTACATATCTTTAACTTTCAATCCACCTTCGTCTTCTTCTCCGACCCAGACCCTTCCGCATCATCCTCCGCCTTCCTCTTTGTCCCGCTCGCACTCCCGCTCCCGTTTATGATGCCAGTCATACTGTCCGCCTGCACAGGCGCGGCACCTGCGCTTGCACTCCCCGATGCACCAGCTGTAACCGTAGAACCGGAGGCGGCAGCAACCCCACCCTTATCCTTCCTCCTCCTCTTCACCATCCCACTCAAATCATTCACCACCGGCTGCTGCCCCTCCACCCTGCTTAACCCCCTCCCGAGCTCCGCATCGAGCGCGTCCGCCGCTTGCACCATCACCGAAGAGGAGGAGGAGGAGGAAGAGGGTTCGTGGTGGGGTTGTGTTTTCAGTTCTTCTATCTGTTTTTTTTTAAAGAACAAAGTGATTAGTTAAGGGGTTAAGGATGCGGGGGGCGGAAAGAAGGAAGGGCGGGAAGAAGAAAGAAGGACGAAGGACGAACCTTAAGCTCCAAATCCGCCTTGAGCTCCTCCAAATCCTTTATCTCAGCCTCGATCCTCGCTCGGGACAGCCCCACAATGCTCAGGTCCACCACCTCCTTCGCCTTTGCTTTGCCTTTCGCGCTCGCTGCACTACCTTCACCTCCTGCGCTGCCTTGGGCGTCGTTGGACCCCCCAGAACCTGCACCTGCACCCTCCGCAACAGCACCACTTCCACCCGTGCCTGCACTACTCACACCCTCCTCCGCACCCCCCTCCTCCCCCATCACACCCCTCAAAACACCCACCCTAACCTCCAAACTCTCCCTCGCACTCTCCGCATGCCCAATCGCATCCGCCAACCTCCCAGGCGTCATATCCAACACAATACTCAACTTGTAGTGCGCCTCCGCTATCTGCCGGGACGACAAGGGGAGTAGGGCGCGTTTCAGTGTGAGGGAGGTTTCGTAGTCGGAGACGGCTTGGTCGAATTTTTCTGTTAGGGAGGGGAGGGGGGTTAGAAGGTGTGGAAAGGGAGGAGAGGGTATGGACAGAGTGAGAAAAGGGGAGGAGAGGGTGAGAAAAGGTGAGGGGCACAAACAGGACACGGTAGAACGTAGAAAACAAGATCCAAGAAAAAACACACACCAGTCTCCAAAGACACATCCCCCAACATCACATACGTATCCGCAAGCTTCAACTTCAACTCCTCTTCCTCCTGTTCCCTCCCTGCACCCCAAGAGTCAAGCCGCTTCTGATATATCGTCCTCGCCAAATCCAAAATATCCCACGCCTCATTGAAATCGTCTTCCGGCTCCCCTTCTCCCTCCCCTTCCTCCTCGTCTCCCTCGCCCGCGCCTTCGTATTCATCGTCACGTCCTTCGGCGTCGGCTTCCTCTATAGCTTTATTCGCCGCCTCGAACAGGTTCACAGGCTCGTCGTCCCCTCCGAATGAGAACAGGTTGTTGCCTTTGGTTGGAGCTGCGGGGAGAGGAGAAGTGGTTAGCCTCGCGTATGCAATAAGATAATAAGAAAAAGAGGGAATGGAAGGAAAGGGAATGGAAGGGAAGGGAAGGGAAGGGAGGGTACACGAAAGATGGAACGTAAAGCCCATATTGGCAATAGGTATAGCGCCCAGAGCGCAAGTGAAAAGAACGCCTATATCACCTATCATAGGCATGGGGGAGACGCACAACACCCATCACAACACATCACCCAACACAAATCACAACAGAAAGCACACACACACACCTTCATCATCCTCCCCCTCCTCCTCCTCCTCCACCCCATTCGCCTTCCCAAGGACAGAACTCTGGGAGATAGCATGCTCCAGCAGCGCACGCCCGTACTCAAAGTAGAGGTCTGCGATCTCCGGGACGTCTTGGCCGTGGTTTTCAGAGCTAGATTGTGGGGGGGAAAAGAGGTTAGTTAAGTTCTGCGAAGGCAAAGGAAGTGGGGTATGGGAATAGCTATGGGGTTGGGAGTAGGATTGGGAATGGGTAAAATGCTGAATGCAAACGCGAGTGAATGCTGAATGCGCAAACGCAAACGCGTATCACAGCACTCCCCTCAAACGCTCGCGAACATCCCAATATCCCAATATCCCAAAAACAAGCAGAACCAAGAAAAACAGAACGCAACACGCACAAAATCTCCAACGCATTCGAATAGTGCTCCACCGCCGCCTCGTACTTCTTCAGCGCAAACGCGCGCTTCGCTAGCTCCAGCTCTTCTTGATGGTCTTCTCCCTTTCCTGCTTCTTCTTTTCCTCCTCCTTGCTTTCCTCCTCCTTCGGGTTTGGGTGGTGTCGGCGTGAACAAACTAGGGAAAAAGACGCGTCCATTAGTCCCGGTATTCTCAATCCACGCGTGAAATTCCAAATTCTACATCGCAAAACGCGTGAAAAGCTGGAGGGGAAAGGGACGTACACAGACATGGTATAGTGGGCAAGTGATGGTCAAAAGTAAAGTGGCATGTGATGGTTAGGGTTCGACTTCGCGTTGTGACTTCTGCCGGGGGCGGCATGTGTAATGTGTACCACGTGACTACTGTTTGACGCGCTGGCAGACTGCAGTGGTGGCGTATGAAAACCTTTTGTTCGTACGAATACATTGTTTGGATTATCGATACATTTAGAAATACGCGCCTGCGCCTGCATATTGTCCTACCTCCTCCCCTCCCGCTTTGTTCTCTCCACCACCACTCCCACTGCCACTGCCACTACCACCCCCACTACTCTCGTGAAGCGCATCCCCAGCTTGCCGTCTCTCAAACTCCACACTCCCCGGCCCAAACCCCGGTGTAGGCGGAACATACGGTTTCGCCGCCACCGCGACCCTCCCCGCCGGAACCCTCGCCTGCAGCTCCTTCCTCCCCAGCACACTCTCAAAATACAGCGTGTCATTCGCTTTGGTGTACTGTCCCAAAAAGAGATCGATGCGCTTGCCTGCTTCGCCTCCTTTTGTTTTTTTACTTATTCCAAGGCTTTTTTTGTCCGCTGCTGAATCTCCCGAACTCGCTGTCGCTGTGACATGTGATAAGCTCGCCGCCTCGCCCTTCGCCCACCCCAAAAACCCCACCGCCTCCCCTCCCCTCCCCGCCTCGCCCGCATCAACCCCCAACCACATAAGTCCCCACACCCGATGCACCGCCGCCCTCTCCCCCAGATTCCTCCTCACCGCCGGCTTGACCTCCCCGGACGTGGATTTAACGAGACCACGCGCGGCACCGTACATCTCCGCACACTCCAGATGCAGTTTTGCCAGGAGAGCGGGCGCGGGGTGCGTTTTGGGGAGGGGCGCGCCGCCGGAGTGGTGTGCGGCGCGGAGGAGGAGTTTGTGGATCGCGAGGGATTGGGCGTCTGCTAATGCTATTCTAAAGGGAAAATGTTAGTAAACTTGTATTAAGCAGCAGCAGCAGAGGAAAACAAAGCAAAAGCAACAAGACAAAGAAGAATTGGGTACGCACTTGGCCAAAGCCTCTGCTACCTCCGTCGTATAATCCACCGGCAGCGCTAGTCCCACCAGCCCCCCCGTACGGCTTCCTGCCCATTCTGGAAGCGCAGAACCAGCGATGGAGGCGAAGACGCCTGAGGCGCGGCATAGAAACGTGACTGCGTGCGTGAGCTTTTCGTCTGGGGTAGCGGTCGAAGATGTCTGCGATGCCGCGGATGCCTGCGATGAAGAAGAGGAGGCGGAGGAGGCGGAGGTCCAAGCAAGATTAGACAGCGCATACGCATATGAAAGCAACACCGATACATAGTCCGCGTGTAGAGAGGGAAGGGAGACGCGCGGGGAGGAGGTGGAGAGGAGGTGCGTGCTGAGGGTGGAGCGCCAGCTAAATACTACGTACGCGAATCAGCTTTGCATGTTTCCTATTGGGTTTGGATTGGAAGGGGTGGGGATGGGGGAGGGGAGGGGGGAAGGGAGGGAAGGGAAGACGCACCAGGCTCAGTCGTAAGCGCAACTTCATCATGCGCAACACACTGTATAAGCGCTCGGAGTCTCGGGATGTAATCATCCAACGCCTGCGTCCTCAAGTCAAACCCTGACCTCAAAATCCACGCGAGTCGTCAC